AATTTGCCCTCTTTATTTGTCTATATTTGATTGGCTTATATTTTCACAACATCCACATACATGCATATCATTGGATCCGTAATCATGGGATCAAGGTATTTTTGTCAACACAACAAAGCTCCCGTATTTGTTCAACGCATGTCGAGTTGCAGGAGATTTGGGGAGTTTTCGGTGAATTTTGAGTAGTGCGATTGGGAAACAGTTTTCAGCTGATTTGAGTTTGGAAATTCGTATCTCCCATTTGGAAGGGTTTCTTGAATTGATTCTTGAGGTTTTAAAACCGTCTCGAAGTTATCTTCAATTTTTTTGTTTGGACCAAAAGCTAAATCTCGAAGGAAGGTCTCCGAATACGCCATTCTTTTGGAAGTTATACAGTAAAAAGAATACAAAGGAAGTGGGCTAAACCATTATTTCATGTGCGCTAAAAATTCATAACTTTTGGACGGATTGTTGTATGCATGTGGTGTCGATTGCCAAAATTTCGTCTCGATGTCATCTTGATGTCGTCTTTGGAGGCTAAAAGATGATTTAGGAAGGAAGGATCCGTGAATTTTGAGTTTCTGAAGACATATTGGCGCTAAACCGGAATTCATTTGTATTAAAGTTTGATACAATAAAGTTCATATCTCACTCGATTTTTATCGTACTGCTCTGGGCCTAGAGGCGTTGGTTAAAAAATTTCGTTCACTACAACTCATATTCAGATGTTAAAAAGAAACGGTGAGCCGAAGGCTTTTGTTTTTTGTCTTCTTTGTGTGTGACGCAATAAAACTCTGCACAAGAAATTATTTTTGTCTGACACATTGTCATTAAAACTTAAAAAATTCATAACTTCCTCGTTGTTTATTATATTGAGCCTGTTCTTTCAGAAACACGTCACAAATTTGATTATCTTCATTTTTCGTGTTAATTTTTTTTGAAGATTCCGTATGAATGATGTCATGGCACTTTGCGGTCGTGTCGGACTCAAGTCAAGGCCCAATCCAATTGTACATCCTAAGCCCAATTGGCTCATGTATATAATCTCAAATATGAATTTTCAAAAAAAGAAGGTTCTCATAATTCACAAAGTTTCGTAAATACAAAAATATTTTCTCTCAATTCTCTCAAGAATCAAATCAAAGTTCTACAACTTTTTTATCAAGAACACAACAACAATTTGATCAAGATTTGAAAGTCAAGATCAAAAGTAATTCTTCTCCAATCATCGATCCGTTCGTTGAAATCTCAAAACCTAAGCTTCCTCTTCACTTCTATCGGTAAGTTTTCTTAAATTAAGCACTTTTGAAATAAGTGATTATTTGAGATGTACTTTTTTAATTGAGCATGAAACAAATTTAGGTTGAATTTTGATTTGAGAATAAAAATCTAATGCTAGAATTGTGATTTGATTTGATCGCCATGTGTAGATCCGGAATCAGGTAGTAGAATTAAGTGCTTATTGAATTAAGTTGATTTTGATGAAAGTACTTAATTGATTAAATAAATTGAGGATGCTACATGAGGTATAATTGTTGATCTTAATCAAGCATGTGGAGTTTAAATATGGATATTGAGTTATGCAAAATCATGTGTTGAATGTGTGGAGATTTGGTGTTTGATCAATTACCTAAGCTATGAGCCAAAACATCAAAAAGTTAGAAAAAGCCAATTTTTGCCTACGCGGTAACTAGTTACCCGGTTATAAATTTAAATAATAATTTAAAATTTAAAAATTTAAATTATAAGTCATATTTTAAATTTAATATATTTCAATAAGTTTTTAAAAATGTATCCCTATAAAAATATTTTACTTATTTATATTTAAAAATATACAAAATATACTTAATATAAATTCATTTCTAATACTCTTCTTACTAGACTATTATTAACTTCATGAACGTTACATGATAAATGATTTATAAGAGACTTTTTAAAACTTAATAAATATAGTTTCTCTTCTTGCTATGAAAGTTACCGTCAAACAGAGTTGCTCTTGGATTCTGCGGGCAGTATTGAAGTGCAGGGACCTTGTCTCTCAATCTCAGTCCTAAAACAATATGCTTCAATGTAATATTTTTAAAGCTAGAGTTCTGTACAGTGAATTTAGCAGCAGGGATCTCAAGGTTGGTTGGAGATATCTTCTCATTGAAATTTTTTCTAGGCCTCGTGCAATGCATTGTGTTTGTAGGGTCTGTCATAATAGTTTGCCTACTAAAGAGAGGTTGGTTAGATTTGGCATGCTTAGTAATGTGGTGTGTTGTTTTTGTAGAAAATCTGAGTCTCTTCAGCATCTCTTCTTTGAGTGTGATGTGATGTGGAACATTTGGTTAGAGGTCCTCAATTGGCTCCAGATTGTTCAAAGTCCAAAAGGTTGGGTAGAGAAGCTTAATTGGATGCTTGAGATTTGTAAGAGGAAAGATTGGAGAACCAGTTTGCTTAAATGCGTTTTTTCTGAAACTATATATGAAGCGTGAAATTTCAGGAACTCTACCTATTTTGTTGTGAATGCAAGGAACACGAACCGTAACATAGGCGAGGACATAGGGAACTTTATTGTTTATAGATGTTGGTCTCATGCAAAACTTAGGCATCATATAGGAAAGTTGTTGTTGTTGCCTTAGTTGTAGTTTGTCTTTTGGCTTTTTTTTTGTCTGTGGTTGCTGGATCTTTTTTGATCACTTGGGCTGTATTACTTTTTGATTAAAAAAAATTAATAAATATAATTTCATAGTTTATTGTTTATTTTTTAAAATTTAATTCATAGGTTAATATAGTACAAATGCATTTATTAAAATGTTTCCAATTTATAATTTTTATAGAGATAAACAACATATGTCAACCTATTAAACTTATTTATATTTATTAACATACAAAATATAATAAAATAAATCAATTTCAAAAACTCTTCAATACCTTTAATTCATGGAAGTAACTCTCTCCGTTCCTTTTTAAGTGTTGTTTTAGAAGAATTTTTTTGTTTCTAATTACTCGTCATTTTTATAGTTTAATGGTATTATATGTTAATTATACCCTTACTTTCTTAATAACTCCACTTCACATTTTTCTTAAAATTAATTATTTTTTCAATTAGTTATTAGAAAAAAGAGGGAGAGTTATGGTTGAATTTATTTGAAAAGAGAAAATACATGAGGGTATCACGAGGGTATAATAGAAAAAATAACCATAATAATCCAATATCTTAGTTGAAGAGTTTTATATTAAAATAACATTTAAAAAGGAACAAAGAAAATACATTATAAAAAGATTACTAAACTATTAAGTTCCTTAACGTTACATGATAAATGGGTCATAAGAATTTTTTTTTTAATAAATATAATTTCTTCTAAAAATTCAATTCATAGTTTGTCATAGTACAAGTTCATTTATTAAAACACTTTTAATTTTATAATTTATAGAGAAAAATCAGATATGTCAATCTATTAAATTATTTTTTATTACAATTTATTAGATTATTAGTACAAGGTTTTATCAAATCTAAAATTATATTTTTATTAAGATTATTAAACTATTATTGTAAAATTTCATTAATTTCAATTTTATACTTGAATATTTTTTAAATTTAATAAATTTAGTTTTATAATTTATTATTATTAATATAAAAAAAATCAATTCATAATTTGTTTTAATATTAATGTATATATTAAAATTTCAATTTTATCATTTATTGAGGAAAAGCATCAATCAAACTATTACATTATTATTTTTTTGGTTGTAGTTTATTAGATTATTACTACAAGATTTTGATACATAATTCATATTCTTAACCTTTGAATTCCGGTTTTTTTTTAATTTATATTCTTTAAGTCATACTCTTTCATTATTATGATCACTCATTTATTATAATATAGTTTTTAATTAATAATTTGATTAGTTATTATTTGTTATTGTTCTTTCAATCATCATTGTGTATATAAATTTGTGATACTGCATTAACATTGTGTTCTACATACAAATTGTTGGTGATGCTCTTCAATTTTGTATAATGAAAATTTTAGTTTCTCTTAACTTTTATTCTTATAAATATTTAAATTATCTTTTATATAATATGAGTTTTATTTGTCTATTATTCTAACTTTATATCTAATTATCTTTTATTGGATGATTTGAATCAAGAGAAGATCATACATTTATATTGCATCATTGTTGCTTGCTTGAAAGTTCTATGAAATGTCCGTCGATGTAGCCACCTAAGTAAATGTCTTTAACTCTAATATAAGCATCAATAAAATCCTATTTTATTAACATATAGTTTTTGTTAGTTTGTTATTTTATGGATGTAATGTTTCAATTAGACAAATATGTAAGTATTGTAGAATAAGTATAATGATTTTTCAATTTTTTATGATATCATCATATGTCTTTCTTCTTTTTCATCTTATAGATCACATCATATTGACTCTTTTTGATATAATTTCTTTCAAACTTCAACGACGTTAATTTTCTTTGATTGTTTCATTTGCAATGACTATCAATAAAAGACAAAGAAGTATTTTAGAAAGAAGTATTTAAAAATATTTTTTAGTAAATTAATATTCCTTTCTTTAAATTTATACATTTTAAATTATTATGGTAATTTTTTTTCTTTTTTATTGTCTTTCACATTAAAAAATTAATAGTATAATTGCAAAAATAATCTAAATGATCGTAAATGAAATATTAATGATTATAAAAAATATATAATTTTATTTTTAATATACCCATGGGAAGATACAGAAACCTACATTTAAAACCCTAAAAACCTGCCAACAAATTCTCCTTATACTGTGGAAATGCTTACTTCCAAGATGCTGATATAAAAGTACCAATACAAATGTAATAATTCAGACCATAGCTAGGTTTGAGAATATTATGAAAGAAATCACTAATCTTAAAATTCACCATTACAATCTATCATCTGAATGGTGAGAGCATAAATAATTAGGAAACATAACCAATATAGAATGAGACATTTTTTCTCACACTTATTTTAATTTATTTTGATAATTAGATCATAGAGGTTAATTAGTCCTCAACTTTGGAGAGTTTCGCCTTGTTCTTGTTTCTGGAAGACCAATGAACAACTCAGTCTCCACATATGAAATTGGACTACTTTGATCTGCATAAGCTTCAACTTCAACTACATTTTCACTCTCATCCATTTTTGCTTGCTGTGATGAATAACTATCATACTGCAGAAGAATTTGGATTTTCATTATTCCATTGTAACTGAAAGATTCATAAAACTACGGGACAATGTTCCAAATTTGATGCCAAAAGTTTAACTTATCAGATAGAAAGTGAACTCGCCTTCTCAGAGAGCCTAGTATTTTCATCAACTAGGGTTTTTTCCTGAAATGTATTCAAAATAATTTCTACAAGATCAGAATCCTTATGTAATGCTAGGTAGGTTTTTTTTTCTTCTATATACTTAACATAAACACAGCTTACCTTTTCTTTTAGCAGTTCAATTTGTTCTCCGAAAACCTCAGTCTGAAAAATAAAAAGTTAATAAGTAAAAAAATTTCTATAAACTTTTATATTTTATCAGATTTTTCTTATCATTTAAACCTTTTTAACTCGAATATTGGTTATACTCCTCTCCAACTGCTGCTCTATTCTTTGTAGTTCATCAATTGAACAACTCCCTAAACCATCTCCGAAGAATTTCCTGAGTACGAAATCGTTGCAAATGCAACATATTTTTAGATATATTGGATATTGTAAAAATATTTGTCAGTATGAATATAAATTCGAGATGTTTAACCGTTTTGAAGTCTCGAGAAGATCAATCTTTTTCGTCATGTTTTCTGCTTCTTCCTTCAAACGCTGTAATATATAAGCAATTTCCATCAATTACTATTAACATGACAAGAATATGTTAATAATGGCAAACCGTAATGAACAATCATTTCAGAGAAACACATCTTGCCAGCATCTATAAACTCGATAATATAAAAAAAGTATTTAAATTCTAGATGATGAATAGGAAAACAATATATGTGATTAAGTTAACCTGAGTATTTTCAAGTGATTCAATTGTTGTTAGAGCATTGTTAATCCTTGTATGACTGCGGTATCGTTCAATTGTTTCTAAAATGCTGCAACATTAAAACCAAGGTTCATCAAATATATAAGTACGCACTTGCTAAATGAGAAAACACACAAAGTTATGTAGGAAAGGTCTAGTTTCATATTTTAGTTTCAATAAAAAAAAATCATAAGTCTAAAAAATCATAAAATGTATTTGTGACCATGCTAAGAAGAAATAGATAAGGGTTCTCAAATGTCTACAAGAATTAAACTAAAAGCAGTTGGTTAGTTTCCATTGTTTTTCTAATTTGAAAAAAAAAACATAATCATAATTCTTATTGTATTTGATATAAGCAAAAATAGTACACAAATAAGCTAGCACTTTATTGTAGAGGTGCTTGATGTCAAATTTATAAAAAAAGAATTGTTGTATTCATCGTGAGTATTAGATACTTTATGTATAACATTAGGAGAAACCTTTGAAAAAACATTAGGAACATGTGGTATAAGATCTTAAATAAAGTAATGACCATTGTCAACTTTAGGTTAAATAAAGTAATGACCATTGTCAACTTTAGGTAGATCAGTTTTCTACAAACTGGTAGCCTCCAGAATGTGGCATAAAGAATAAAAGAAAGTTAATTCGCAGTGTGAATCAGATATAAGACTGTAGAGAAATTGTTGAAATTCAAGCGCGAGTGGTTAAGTTTCTTATTAATTAAGCATTGAGGAAATATTAGAATTATAAGAGAAATGACTCGTATCTTTAATGACTTAAAGTTTTAGATAGATATGTGACGTTAAGGTTACTTGGATCCTTAACGTCTAACTCGGCTATTGATAAAAAATTGAGAAGAAAGCTTTGTGCCACAATAGTTAGCTATTAATAAGAACCATTAATAATGAACCATGGGGTAGATAAGTTCAAAATACCTTATTCTTTTTTGTCAACAATGGGATCTCCATATTAATGTTTGGAGTGAGGTTAATCATGTTTGCATTGTATTGTAAATTGGAGGTATTTTTTAATCTTTTTCTTATTTGCAACCTTTTAAGACCGGTTAGTTTTGCTGGTGATTGAAATTATTTGACTCTCTTTTATCCTTATTTAAATATATTAGAATAATTTCTTTAGTCTAACTAATATTTTAAAAACGACAGAAATCAAACCTATGCAATTTTTGGTTTAAGGTTTAAATGGTTATACGACTAAATATATGGTCAAATTATTTATTAAAAATAAACTAATAATATGAAGTTAAATTTTTATAAATATGTCATATATAATCATACGTCCATAATCTAATAAAATAAATATTTCAAAAATATTGGCCTGAATGACCTTGATAACTGTTATGTTTACCCAATTTATCATAAATTTTCATAGGCCACAAAATAGAGTTTGCACTCAAATAGAATAAGCAATAAAGAATATTTGAGCAAGAATTGAAGAAAATCAAAGTGATTCGCTAGGCGAGCAGGAGCCTGTCTTAACAAGTGTAATTCAGAGAGTTCTGTACATGGACATATGCTTCAAGAGTAAAAAAGGGAGCTTACTAAGTAGACCATAAATTTTCTTAGCGAAATTCAACTTACTTTGATACTATAAATAGTTTAAAATATTATATTTCAGCCAAACACTAGAGTGACAAATGAGTCTCAATAAAAGATGATATTCAAAAAATATCGAATTCTTTTTTAGAAGAAATAATATTTAATCACTGCATGTGTCTTTGTAATACGAGCCGAATTAATCAATCTATTATATAGGTCGAAAATTGATGTGAAAGAAAAAAAATCATTTGAAGAGATGCACGTTAGGAAAGAAGATAGAACAATACAACTCTTAATGAAAAAGTTGAAGGATTAGAGGAATCAACCATTGAAGGTATAATTTTATCTCATTTCTTTTCATTTGTGTTAAACAACCCTGTGAATGAGTAGATAATTTTAACTTGGTTAGAATTGGATATAATCATCCATGTTCTTGAATATCCTTCTTGATCGTAAGTTAAATATATTTTAGTTACTCATTAATATGTTGATGTTTATTTTTTATTTCAATGGTTATTATGATTTGATTAATCATAATATGATGCTTTGATTTGAATTCTTATTAGAAAATATTCTTTAGACCATGATCTAAGATAAATTTACATCTATATAATATATTAAAATTGAAGGAGTGGACTATATCACGACATATGTTAACATTTATATTTCATTTGTGCCATATCATCTTATGATTCTATGTGAAACCTCTAAAATTTTATTTTTCACTTTTCAAATAGACAAATACAATATTCTTTTTAAATAGAGGATTACGGGTTCGAAACTTGGCAAAGATAAAAAAAATCTCATTTTTAACAAAAAAAATATCTATCAAAACAACTACTATTTTAACTATTTATATTCCCTTAAATTTCAAATTTAAAATGGATAATGCTTAATAGAGAGAGTATTTTTCGTAAAAAAATAATGAATATGCAAAAATCATTTTTTTCTTGCTCTAATCCATTCGTATTATCCTTTACAATTGATCTACAATAACACATGTTATATTGAATTGTCAACTTGATCTTTTTATATTGTTCTTAAATCATCAACTATGTTAGTTCAGTTTACATCATGTTTCTAATAATCATCATAACTATCAAATAAAATTTCTTGGTACATAAATCATCATAACAGCTATATTGTTCTTTTTATTGTGTTTAGAGTATAATAATAAAAAATATCTAATAAGCTATGATGGTACATGAAAAGATGATTACTATGCTTAATCATTTGTTTTCAACAAAACCTAATTGGACGGTGTAGTTGTTTAATGTATAAAATTGGCAATCGTGATATTCACGAGAATTTTTTTTATATATAACATGGCTCATTTAAAATAGACTTGTGAATATAAACACTAAACATAAAATTATGTTTTCTTTGAAATCATAAATAATAAACATTTAATATAAATATTTTAATTTCAAAGTAGTTATAGTCAAAAATATATTAACCTAACAATTCATTACTAACTTAGATAAATATATTATTTTCATAAATATATATTATTAAAGTTAATATATTTTAAACCAAGTGATTGGGCTGCAGTGAGTTAATGGAGCTCTTGCTAACAATAACATTAGGTAAGAGGTTGGGACACCGGTGTAAAAAATGAAAAAAAAAAAAAAACTAAATAAAGAATACTCATATTTCAATTGTCATCAACGACAAAATCAAATAAATTTTTACAATCTCATTAATAAAATTAAAATTAAATTATTTAAAAAAAAAATTAAAGTACTATCTCAACTCGCATATTCAACCCTTTATTTAATAGATAACCAAAGATTGAAAAAATAAATATAAATTTTACAAAACGAATAAAATTTTATTTGATAATAATTACAAATAAACTTTTAATTTTATTTAATACTAAGAATGAATACACACATTTAACAACTTGAATTATATATATAAATCAAATATAACTACTAAAAAGACATGAGAATATAAAAAACAATAAATATTTTATAGTTATTTAAAATTTCAAAATTAATTACGAATGTCATTATAAATTTACAAGCATGTATTTTTCTTTAAAATAAAAGTATCTTTTTTTATGCGATAAATTCATATCACTCTCTCTATTATAATTCATTATAAATTATTATAATATAAATTTAATAATATATTTTTTTCAAAAAATAGTCATAAAATATTTAAAATCAAATTAAAAAACGAATAAGCAAATTTACAACTGCCCATCGCGCGGGTCTTAATCTAATTATCAATTAATTTTTTTAATAATAATTAAATTTTCAATATATAATCAAGAAAAGAACGGTCGATTGTTAATGTTGCTGTTTTGACAAGCAAGACAATTAATTCCTCATGGTTTTTAAGGAATTATTATAGTTTGAATTTTTAGTAAATGAGTAATCATATTTATTTAGAGATTAGTTGTTATGCATTTTTTTTTGTAAAATATTTTACACGGTTAGTGCATTAAAACCATTCACAAATAATATTTTGTATGTAATTAAAGAAAAAGTCAAATATTTATAAAACTTTAACAATTATGATTCACTAACGGTTTAAAACTTTTTTATATTGTCAGTGTATTCCAATTAAATTCTTTATTTTAACCTGGATCTATGAAACTGATCTTTAAGGTTTTGTTTGGGAGTTTAGAGGGGAAGGAAAGTGAGGGCTTTGAAAAATAAGAAGGGTTTGGTGAAAAGAATTGAAAGATTTTAGAGGGTTTATCTTTCTTCATAACACCAAAAACCTTTAAATTTGGGGAACTCAAAATTTGTATTGAAGAAGGGTTTTAGAGGGCTTATATAAATTTTCCAAATATCTTTTATCTTGTTATAGTATTCAAAAACTTAAAAATACAGTAATAATAAACACTATTTTATGGTTCTAAGCAATATCATCTTTCCAAAAAATGTTAAATATTTTTATATATTTTAAAAAAAAATTATTTTCGGAAGCCTTCTCTTTCCTTCCCCTTCAAACTCATAAACATAGCCTAAAATATAATAGAAAGTATTTAAAGAAATCTAATCCCAAAAATTTCATCTTCTTGTTATTTTCACTGCTTTTACCGTTGTTTAAGATTTTGAGCTAAGCACTCATTATCTTCTACTTAGAATTATATTAATTATTGAACGACTTAAATATCTCTCAAATCTTCATGAATACGATGCAAAAATACTTAATGGTTGATACTTTCATCACTATGGTGTCGTCGGTGTTTTAAAAACTGAGTTAAATTGGTTGGTCGAACCCGTCGAATCGGGAATTGGAGGATTCATCAGTCTTATCTGATTTCGGATCAGATAAGCTATTGAATCAATGGAAACTAACTAAAACTGGCCAAAACATTAAAATCAGAGAACCACCGGTTTTAGAAAATCGACGGGATAGATGCTTGATTTTTTCCTCTAACAAAAATGACGCCGTTTAGATAATTTTTTTGAAAAAAATAAAATTAAAATATGAATATAGTTTGTTCAAAACTTATTTGAAACAATTTTTCCTCCTTTTAATTAAATATATTAGACATTTCACTTATTTTATTATTCAGTTTATGTTACAATTAGATTTTATTCAAAAATCATTTGAATTTGTATTTTGTATTAGTTTGTTGTGTATGATGACTATGTTTAGAATTTTAATTTAAATAATAAACTTGTGAAATTATGAAATTTTGAAAAAAATTTTAGGTATTGTGATTTTCTTTAAAGATTGAGTTATCTGATTCGATCTGTTTAATAACTATATAATCTTGTTGTAAATAAACGTTTAGTCAACTAAGTTACCTGATTTAATCTAGTTTTGTCATGCGGTTTGACCATTAATCTAGTATCATCACCAATGACTTGTTTGATTTTTAAAACATTGAATGTTGTTATTATGGATTTGAGTCAATATATTTTTGCATAGAAACAATCTACGATTTTTTAGAAATTTTTTACTTTATTTTACTTTTGTATATATATTCATATTTTTTCTACCTTGAGGACAACTAGGAAATAATATATGAAAACTTGAAATAGATAATAGTTAGCTTAGTAAAAACAACAAAAATAAGGAACTTATGTTTCTATTTCCTCAGTTTTTCAGATGCCAAAAATCATGGTTGGTCATGGTATTAAAATGGTGATGGTGGCAACAACAACTATAGTAACAACAATGGTGGTGCAGGAATTTCAAAAGTTTTTGGTCTCAACAATACAAGAAGTATTTTTTTTATTGAATACAATGGCTTCTACTAATGGAACATTCAAGATTGGTAAATAAGAATTTGAAACTTTTGGTAGAAAAATCATTTTTTTTACTGTTAGAGGATGTGGTGAAAAATATCCTTATTTCAAAAAAAGTTTCACTAGGCGTTAGTAGGAAAAGAATATAACAGGTGGATATGAAGGATGAGGATTGATAAAGATAAGATTTAGAAGCACATGCCACCATATATTATCCCTTTCTTGTTGAACACACCAAGAAAAATCAAATTTCTCTTCAGATCAGGTACATGCCTGACACTAGTCAATATCTTTATTAATTCATCATGAAGTTTGAATCTCACAGATCCAATACTTACAATCTTGTATGCTTTATTCTTTCTTAGCAACACTAATCCGCCTTCTTGGTCACAAAATTTCTCAAATACATCTTGGTTTGGAGTCATGTGCCAAGTACATCCTGAATCTATAATCCACTCCTTACTCGAGTCACTTCTTGAAACAACAAGAACATCAGATGATTCAAAATCATCTTGCACAATAGTTGTGTTGCCTTTATCCTCACCTCCATTATTATTCAAGCCTTCATGGCACACCTATCTTGTATGACCCTCTTTCTTACAATAATAAGACCTAATTGCAGGAGTATCAACACTATAAAATTTCTAATGACCTTTACCCTTCTTCATCTCAAACATGGCATCTTTCTTCAAGATTTTCCCCTTAACAAACAAACCTTCACCAACAAATGATGGCTTATGCTCTTTTTGTTCGTTCAAATCCTTAGCGTAAAAGGTTGATTGAACTTCTTCAAAGGTCCAAAACTCTCTTTTATACAAGAAGGTTTCTTTGAAGTGATCATGAGATTTAGGTAAAGAACACAACAATAACAACTCTGGATCTTCATCATCGAGACTAACCTCAATATTTTCTAGATCAAGAATCAGCTTGTTAAATGTATCAAACTGCTCCGTCAAGACTTTATCTTTACTCATCTTGAATGAATACAAAGTCTGCTTCAAATATATACGATTTACCACGGATTCGATCATGTACAATGCCCTAAGTTTTCTCCACACACCTGCTACCTTCATCTCCTTCGAGACCTTTTAGAGAACTGTATCACCAAGACTCAATATAATAGAACTGTGGACTTTCTCAATCATCATTTTCTTCTTCTTCTCCATTAGCTAACATCCATCCTCTCTGATCTTTTCAAAACTTCTAACAAACCCTACTGACATCTTCAAGTGCCATAAACTAAAATTATTCACTTCGGTGAATTTCTCAATCTCATACTTCATTGACGACATCTTCTTCTTTATGCTTACTGCACCAGTGTATTGTAACGGAGCACCATCGAGAACAAAGCAAAACTATGAGAAAGATTGAGTTTCTTGAACAAATACAAGAAATCCTATTAGGTTTTTACAAAAGAGAGAGAAAAGGGAAGAAGAAGAAAATTAGGGTTGGTTATAACTATTTTAATATTTACTTTCTCAATTAGGGATCACAAATTACAAGTGAATAACAACAATCAATAATCTCTAAACAACCTTAGAGAAAAAAGTTCTATTTATAGACTACTAAACTAACTTAAGTAACAAGCTAACTTAAATAATTGAGCTAATATACTAGCCCAATTCGACATTCTAACAACCTAGCATATTTTGACAGCTGCATACTTGAACGTACTTCGACTACATCGTGCAAGACTTCGACATCGACATGTGAATAGACTTCGACTACATGCTTAACTTTGTCGAACTTAGAAATTATCCTTGTCGAGACTAGAGTTCGATCCAAATTACTACAAATTCTTGTCTAATTTTATTAGATAATACAACAACCGAAAAAGATAAAAGGGTAATAAAGTGAGTTTCATTTTATTAGAAATTTAATATTTTTTTCACATTTATATCTTGTTCAACATTAATAAGAGTTATATTTTATATCATTCTTAGAAGTCAAGTTTCCCTTGGTCGAGACTCCAACATTATTCACAATGATCAGGACAAGGTTTGTGTCTATTGCTTTCAAAAAGATGAAAATATAGTCCATATCATGATGCATTGTTCTGTGGTGAAGATTGTTTGGGAGAAAATTCAGCAATGGCCTCAAATAGACGTGTTAGAGGAAGATGATTGTTTTAGCCACTTTTTGAATGTTGTATCCAAGTTGAAAATGTTTGGATTAACAAAAAGAGTTGGTGACATTTAGATGGTTGTATGTTGGTTTGTATGGCAAGGGAGGAATGATATTATATTCAATGGAGCTATCGGGTGAGTTGGCTTTCAAAGTAGAGATGTTTACATAGAGGTGGTTAGCATCTGGTTTGAAGGAAAAGTTGTTTTGTAATTTCTATATGTGGTGTCATAACCTAATAGATTGTCTCAAACGATTTTAAGGTCCATTTTCTTTGTAATCTTTCGTTTGTATGAGAGTTAGAGCACCCCTAATACTACTCTCTCTCTCTCTCTCTCGTGAATGCAGTAGTTGCTTATAAAAGAAAATAACAAACTTTTAACCTACATTTACATAAATTAAATTACTAATCCAAAATAGACAGCACACATAAATCCAATGGAGACCCTAAGGGGAAACTCAAATTTCAATTTTCAGCCATCGTTGGCAATATATAATTTATTCTTATATGCGAAGACCAAGATGACAATAATCGTTTGCTTTTATATTCGACTATACACTAATATATATATATATATATATATATATATATATATATATATATATATATATATATATATATATATATATATATATATATATATATATATATATATATATATATATATATATATATATATATATATATATATATATATATATATATATATATATATATATATATATATATATATATATATATATATATATATATATATTATATAAAAGTTCAACTTTGATGATAATAATCATAATAAGGATAGCATAAACGTTATATTTAGCCTTGGGATGTTAATTTTCTATGACCTCCTTCTATAATAGAGTTATTATTCTTATATACATAAAATATAATTGTCTGCACCAGATAAACTATGATTTGATTTCTCTGCTCCATTATGTTAAATGATTAAGAATAAAATATAATAATTTAATTAGGTTTATGTTAAGGATTGTACTCTAGTACTTTTCTTTTATAAATACTGATATTAATAGTGTTAAATAAAAAAGAATTAATTTTGATGTTCTATTAAATAATATGCATTGTGATCAGAACAATGTAGCACGTAAATAGAATTGGTACCTTTGATTAATATTTTATGTGTTTGATATTATTAAGTTTTGATTTTATTCATGGATTGTGTTAAGAACTAGTAGCTTAAGATATATATATTTTTTTTTATTGGTGTTGAATTATGTGATTTTTACACATAAACATTTCAGACCTCGGGTTTCTATAATATGTATTTTTTTTAGTCATGAAAAAAATTATATGAAGAGAAATAATATACACAAATATTATCAGATTCAATGACACAATTTGAACAAAGAAATTAGTTAAATCTAAAACAAAGATAAGGACACATACCTTGAACTTGCAAATTCATATATTCTCCCTCTTGGTGAGAAAACAATAAGAGCAACTTCAACATCACACAAAATTGATAACTCAAAAGCTTTCTTCATCAAACCATTTCTTCTCTTTGAAAATCTTACTTGTCTACTTGTTGCGTTCTCTATACGCTTCATTTCTGTCTTCCCTCTCACCATCTTTGCTGAATTCACAACAAAACAATAAAATATGATATGAAAAATATAAAAAGAAAAGGGGAAGAAAATACTAGCTTTTAAGATCTAGAAAAGTTGTAGGAAATGAAAAAATTGCAAGTGGGATTTATTAGAATTACTTACCAACCAATTAAACCAAATTCTTAAGGTTGATTGAAAAAATAGAAGAGAAAAACCAAAAAAATAAAAAGTTTTCAACGAAAAAAGTAACATAATTGTCAAAGTATTTTGATGAGAAAATTAAATAGTGTAAAATAGCTTCCTAGGATAAGGTCTATTACAAACATTTAGGTTAAAGATTTATATCTCACTTCAAAGAAGTGATTTTTCTCAACTTACCAGCAAGACAAGCGCAACTTCAAAAGGAAACCGATTTTCCCCCAACTTGAGAAATGAAGGATAGAAGAGATAGAAATGAAGGGTCGAGTCCAAAAGAGGAAAATAAGGTTTAAAAATAAATAAGAGCAAAGGAATCAAAAGAAAGAAGAAACTATGAACCCCAAAATTAGTAATACATCTAAATGAGGTACTAAGTTTAATGAAAAGGGCCTGATTTGGAATTTACATACTTTTTTAGCTAAAGCAAACACACAGAGCTACCTTTCCTAATTAATCAACCTTATAATTTGACATCTTTGATTCTACAAAAGCTACCCCACCATAGTAAGGAACAAATCAATTGTTTTTTTTGGATTTAAAAGTTGAAATCATGATTTTAAATTGCGGACCACATCACATTGATGCAACCACAATATTGTGGTTGCAATAGTGTCTGCATCCACATCAAACCGAGATAGCGATATGATTAATCAAACAAAAAACTACATTATAAAACCGCAACGGCTGTATTATAATACTGCAACGGCCGCATTAGTCCACATTAGACTGCATCAGCATGCAATAGTTTATGTGTTGTTTGTAAAAATTATTTGATCTACCTTTCTTCCTATTTATATCATAAATTTAAGGTACGTTTGAAATGTATTTGAAAAATTCAAAGTGATGACGAATTATTAATGAGATATATGAAGATTTCGAGAGAAAATAAAAGACATTGTGAAACATAAAATAAATGATAAATTATGCTTCTTTTGTTGATAAAAATCAAATTCACGTCGCAACGACCACAACTCGCATTGTAACAGACGCAATAGGCGCAACTGCAGGGACTGCAACCACAATTTAAAATCATAGGTGAAACCTTATAATTTACTTGTTTTGGAAAAAAATGATTAAATCAAACTCTACCGGCCTATAAAGAGAAATTTTTAGATTAAAGTCAATAGTATTTTGAAAATGATATCGCAAAATTTTCTATCAAAGAAAAAAAGAAAATATATGTATATGTCCGTAAAGTATTAGGTTTTTTTTACTTATGCGGGATTAATTGTTTGTGTAAGTATGGATGACAACAAAAATCATATTCGTGGGTACTTGCGGGTAAAACTTGTCACGAGCATGGATAGGATGTCTTAATAGGTATTTACAGGTAAAATAAACTGATATTTAGTTACTCGTTTACTTACAGGTATGTATATGGATTTGATGATACTCGTACCCATGAATATCTATATCCGTTAATAATTAACAAAACTACTTAAGTATTAATTTATTTAATCTAAGATTATTATTATTATTATTATTATTATTATTATTATTATTATTATTATTATTATTATTATTATTATTATTATTATTATTATTATTATTATTATTATTATTATGTGTTAAATTTGAAACTATTTTGTTGTCTTTAAAAGGGATAAAAAAATTAGTTTATTATATATTTTTTTAAAATGTTAAAGTATCCATGGATACCCGTATATATCCGCGGATATCTCAAAATCCATGGATACCCGTCTAACGGACACCTGCACGGGTATGGGGCGGGTATGAGTATCATATTTACTAAACAGGATGGATAGCGGGAAACTCATATCTGTATCATTTGTCATCTCTAAGTGCAAGGACATGTTTGGGTAGTAGTGTTATTAACTAATGCATAAAATATCCACCGTAATAGATGTCTAGTGACATTTGGCTGCGAGACGCGTGTTTGAATCCTT